TCCCGGGACGCGCCCGGGGCGACGCCCGCGGGACCCCAACCGGGCTTCGGGCGCGGTTCTCCGATCGCCCACTCGCGACCCTCGGGGCGGGTTTCCAGAGGCGGCAGTGAGAGAGTGGATATTGCCTCCTGCGTGGAGGACTCTTTCCAGTCCTTCTCGCAAGGGAAGAAAGCATTTGGTAGGGTAGCGTTTGCTTAGTACAAGGAAACATTTCTTATCCTACTCTCGGCCAGCACTACGTCATTTCAAGAGGTTACAAAGTTTTTAGAAACTTTATAAAGCGCTGATCACAGTAATGTATACCTCTGGCAAGTTAAGATTTTCGAACTGTCAAGTCCGATAATAGTTGTCCAATGATTTGAGCTCCTTCGTTAAAAGTCATAATTATACTTTGTTTTTATGTACATTCATTTATTCACATATTCAGCGCCTTATATGCGCAGGCTCGGCGCCCTTAAGGAATTTAACAGCCTAGAGGAGACTTTAAAGGAGGGGAAAAGGGGGCCTCCAAATACGGTTAGGAAGTAGAAGGATCCTTAGAGCTGGGCGTTAATTAGGTGGACGGGGAGAGAATTGCCCCGTTCCGTTTTCCAGATATTTAGAAAGTAAGTTTTTGAGAAAGTGATTTTAGATCAGCATTGAAGACAAGATTTGTCTTACATTTTAATACCATCGATTTTTTTTCTTTGATAAAATGGGTAAGCAGGCAGAGTTTATCACAATAGTGAGAGTTAGAAAAAGCGCTGGAAGTTGGATTTGTTTTTTATATAGATACTGTAGTATAGGAAAAGTCTGACCTGACAGGAGACCCGAATTTTATCTTACGCTTCTCCACTACTATTTCTGTTATGTATCTTAGGTCACTTTTCTCTTTCTTTCTCTTGTGTATTATTGTATCTGACTTTAGTGACAGAAAACACATAATTCAAAGTACCTTAAATTTTTGTTTAGTTACACAAATAATGAATACATTCTCTAAGGAAAAAATTTAAGTACTTGTGTCTTTAAGCAGTGCGTTTTTCATCCATCCAGTTTTATTTCAAAAAGGGAATTGAGGCAATTTATATTCTTTATGAATCCTTCTTAATTATCTTATGAATAAACTAAATCATTAAACTCTGAATTTGTTTAGGCCCCCTTATATTTTAAAATTCTTGTATTCTAAATCCTGGTTAACCGATTTAATGACATCTACATTTTAAAAAAACTTTATTGAGTCTTGTGTTTCATTATTCATATTACAGTTGATGGATTTGAACAGTCCTCGAATGGGACCATAGTCCTCCACTTCTGCTTTTTAAGGAGACTGAAGTAGCTATTATTAAATTTCATTTAAGAAATGAATTAACTGAAACCTAAGGAATTAGTAAAGATTTGTTTATATCATTTAATTGAATTCCTCGTCTAGTTCTAGTTGATAAATTCTTTGTATTAGAGGAGGGGTCAGCAGTTGACAACCTGTAGGTCAAATTCAGCCTGCTGCCAGTTTTTGTAAATTTTTTCTGGAACATAACCACACTCGTTTATTGTTTATGGCTGATTATGTACTGTTTATGAGTAGTTGTGATAGGGACTGTATGACTCTCAAAGCCTAAAGCCTCTCTGGTCCTTTGCAGAAAAGATTCGCCGACCCTAGACTAGAATTCTAAACTCTTAATCACTAAATCTTCTGTAGGAGGAAATAGGTTAAACTCAGTTTTATTCTTAATCTTGCTTTTTCATTATTATGTCAAGTTAAACTGTAGGATCCCATAATTGCTTCTGGATCCTAGTTGTATGATGATGTAAGAGGGGCATATCTTTTCTGTTACATTTACCTAGTATAAAGTTTTTAATTTCAGCAAGCCTAGCCTTTTGGAAGACTAGAGAAAAGGAAAGATTTTTTTATGTTTCTCTAACAACTTTGTAATTTTTAGTTTTAATTTAGATCTGGTGTGGAAAGTTTTTTTCATTTAGTAAACTTTTTAATATATGGTGATATTAAAAGTAACAGTATTTTACTCAAAATATTTTTTTACATGAATCTAGTGACATAGCAGTTGATCAGAAGATCAGACAGAAAATCATGTGAAGTGTAACTGTGAATATGAAATCAAATGTTTATCTACAGTAAGACCCAAATGGGAAATTAGAACTCTCTATACAGATACCCAACAGATTGAAAATGGAGCATGTATCCTGAATCATGCTTGGATTTTTTTTTTAATCATAACAACTTAAAAGATAATTATTTCTAGAAAAGAAGCATAATATAGCCATATTAAAGCATTATGTTAATGTTACCTGTCTAAGAAATTGGAGCTAGTTATGTGACAAGAAAGAAGAAAAATTTATGGGAAGTGATAATTCTAAATATTTAAAGCCGAGCATATACTATTTCTGATCTTAAAACCATGATATATGGTTCTAATATCAGTAAATAAAAATTTTTATGTACTTTTTCAGTAGCTTAGTTGTTGTACTTATTGCCCAGATAATGCTTCTTTATTGGTAATTACACAACATCTATTTATATCCTCTTCTGTTGGATTTGTAGGTTTCTGTATGTTGAAGATGTGCATGTTTTTGAGTATACATGCAAAATAATACCTCATTTATTCACTACATTTTTTAATGTAAGTAAAGTTATCAGAAAATTGAAAGTACCCATTGAAATACCCCCCAAAATTTTTTTTATAATATTTTGAGGGAAACCTGAAAAGGAAAAAAGAAAAACATACAGATTAAAAATCCCTTAATTTCAGAATTCAGAGGCCCTGAAAAGATTTTTTGTTAACTCATTTGACAGCAAAACATGACCTGAAATGAAATGAAGCTATTTATAGTCGTTATTTATTCCACCTTATATGAATATGTTTGTCTTTTGCTGCAGAAATATCAGTGAGTTTGATTATGGAGTGCTGCCTCAGACTGACTTGGGGGTTAGAGGTAATAATTGGTATGTTCACTGTATTACTGGGGTAGACCATGATGGTAGCAACCGGAGGCAGGGTAGTAATGGAGTTGTTCCAGGGAGCTATACTTGCAAAGTTAAGAGCCTAGCTGGGCATCTGGCAGGGAGTGAGAAGCAGTGTCTGCCAAGAAAGCCTCTTAGGGAGGGCTCCAAGAAGGTCAGAAGTGTAGTTAAATTCTAGGCTAGGTATTCCATGAGATATGTTGTGAATTAGAAGTGGGGACCATGAGGAAAGCCACGATAACATGTCAGACCATAGTGCAGATTAAGGGTGAATCTGTAAATGCTAACCAGAACGTAAGAACCATGAACAGTTCTAAAGGGGAAAAAAGGATTCGAAAGGAGGCAGGGTGTAATAGCTGAACTAGGAAGCCCTGGGTGACAGATTGCACGAACAGCAAATACAAAGATAGAGTTATTTTGAAAAATCGAGCAAGGATTCCTGGCCTCTGCTGAGCTGGAGGAATAATAGCATCTTGTGTACTTTGCTCTTGTACTAAATAGCCCCATATTACCCTGTTTTTTTAAATATCTATATTAAATAGTATTTTGGTCATTCATCATTTATAGCTGCCTGCTCTGACTTCCTTTTCTCAGTGAGTTTTCTTTCACTTTGTTTTATTTTTAAGAAATGATCCACGAATTTGCATGTCATCCTTATGCAGAGGCTGTGCTAATCTTCTCTGTATCCTTCCAATTTTAGTATACATGCTGCTGAAGCAAGCATGCTCCTTCACTTTTAATATGGTAATCTACTCCACCCTAGCTAGAGTCCAGATAATTGCATTATTTGTCATGTTTAAACAAAGAATAAACAGGCATTGAGGTATCAAGATACTTATGTCACTAAAGTTCATGATCTTTGAAACAATTAATTGCTGTGTATTGTTTTTTTTTAAAAAAACTTGTTTGTTTTTACTTCCTGTTACTAGATTCTCAAGTAGATACCAAGTAGTGAGCTTGCTTGGATGATGACTTTCAAATGAGTAAGGTGGGAGATAGAAGAATAAAATTTCTCTTAAATCTACTTTCTGGAACTTTTTAATGTCCAGAATGAATTCTTTCTTCCCAGGGTGAACTGGAAGAGTAGGTTTGTAGAATGAAAAGTGATAAAAATTGTCAGGAATAGCCAGACTAAATTACCCTTGGTAGTACTTATTGATTTATTGTCTAGATGGAAAGGGCACTTTGGAAGTCGATGTCTCTGGAAGACCTCACACTTAAACAAAAAGCCTCAAAGTTCTAGAGACATAAGAGGAGGCTGAAGTGACTTAAAAAAAGAACCACAAAGTTGGAAGGATTAGGTGCTTTAGCAGGTACGGCAGCAACTGTTGGTGATAGCAGCAATAAGAGACTGTATGAAGAGGCCATATGAAGTAGCTGAAGAAACATGGACATTGGAACTAGACAGATGTAGGTATTATCTTCCACTTAAATAGCATCTTGACCTTGTACAAATTTCTTAATTCATTATCATCAACTGTAAAATGAGGATAGTAATTTCTAAGTTTCAGTGGTACGAGGATTAAATAAGATAATGAATTAAAATGTTCTCGTAAATAAATCCTCAAAAAAATTAGTTCCTTTTTCTGTCACTGCCTTATTAGAGTTAGTTCCTACTGTTCAGTCTACCCCCCAGACCCCAACACTTTCTTTTACCCTTCAAGGGTTTTTACTTCTATAATCTGGAAGGAGAATTGTCAGAAATGGCTAGACTTCATTTGGGGCCCCCATTGGCAGTCTCCTTCACTGAATCCAGTTCCTGCCATTCTTCCCATCCCTAACAGTAATCTGCAGTACTTGGAAAAACAAAAGAGGAAGGCAGAGTAAACCGCAACCCCACTTCTGGCCTTTTCTTACCCCAACTTAGAAATTTCCAGGTAACTCGTTTCTTTTCTACTCCATCCTAACTTCTCTGTTCTATAGAACATGCTACCCATCAGTTCTTGGAGCTGTATCTGCAGTCCTGCAGTCTTGTGTTACGCGGTGGTGAGAAGTCATTCTTCCCATTCATAACAAGTTTGCAGGAAATATTCTTGGAATCTTGGGACACTGAATGTATTTTCATTATATATTAAAATAAGGTATTAGTGCTGTACCTGGGGCACATTACAAATTAAGAGTTTTATATATGACTTTAGAAATGTGGATTAAGTTGATATGGGAATTCGTATTCGGAATTTCAAAAATCACATTTTAAAATTTATGGTGCTGCAAGCCATTTTTTAGTTCAAAAAGAGTGTAGTGTGAAACTTAATTAAAAATATGAATAACAGTTTTTTTATGTGAATTTATATACGAGGTTAATTAAAACTATCTTCATATTCCAGGGGTGTCTGTGAGAGGATTCTGTCTGCTTACATTTAGAATTCTGAATGTTAGATCATTTGATCCAAAATATTAATCAGAAGTGGCCTCTTTTAAGTAGAAGTGTGATTGACTTGTTACATATTCTACTTCTAATAAAAATCCTATCATAGTATGAACAAAAAGGAATTTAAAATTTTTTTTGTCTTACGGTAGTCTTTAATGATTAGTACTTCAAAGATTGTGTTCTGTAGAGCACCAATTTCACAAGATTGCCGGCGGGAGAAAAAAAAGAGAGGTAAAAGTGAGGGAGAGGTCTGTGGTTAAAGCATGTTGAGAAACATCAAGTGCTCCATGTACATGCCTTCCTGGAAGTGCATCTTGCACATTACCATATTGCATGTTTGGAGACCCTCTATAGGAAAGAAAATTGCTCACTTGGTATTTCCCAAAAGTATCTGGGTTGGATTCCCCTCCCCCACAAATCTCCCTATAAATACACAACATTTATCCTCATTTGGCACTCTTATTCTACAGAACACTCATTAGGAAACACTGCTTTAGCTATGAGATGCTCTCTTAACATGTAAAATTTCTGCACTTGTAGTTTTCATAATTATAATTTTTAATGAGAGCCTTATAGTCTTTGAATATGTCAAACTTAACCATTACTCTAATGTTGGACTTACGGGTTTCCAGTTTTCACTTTTATAGTGCTATAATCAACACTTAACACTTCTGATACTTTCCTTTTTCTTTAGCATGAATTTTCAAAAGCTGGATACTTTTGTCAAATGGTTTTGATATATTTATGATTTCCGATACATTATATTTTCCAAAAGAGTTGAACCTGTTTGTACTGTCACTGTAAAACTATCAGCTTTTGTAAATTCTCAGTATTGGCTATAAAAGTTTTTATATTTATATTTAGATTTAATATACATGTAATTTTGAACCATTCAGCTAAAACAAATTTTTATCAAGCTTAAATCAGTATTATACACTTAATATTTAAAATGTTAACTGATAACTAATTTATGGTTATAGAGAATTAGACTAAGATTAAGTTTACGCCATATAATATCATAGGTTTGAATTGTATTGTCATTTTCCTGCTATTTTCTAAAGCAGTTTCAGTAATGGGCTTATCTAAAAAAACATCAAGATAAATATTTCTTAGGTGAATTATAGGAGAATATTGAGCATTAATCCACTATTAAAATCACCTATATTTAGTCTCAATATTTATAAATTAATAGCATTGTAGGTATTTTATGATGGTGGTATGAGGATTAAATAAAACATTTATCACAGCATCCCAGCCTCCAGAGATTCTGATTCAATTTGTTTAGGCTCGACTTTGGTATTTTTTAGAGCAGCCGGAGTTGAGAGCCACTAATCTATATTGTTACATGTCTTCTACTTTGATATGCTTAGCTTCCTTTGCTTTCAACAGTTTACCGACCTCATCTGTGTTGTTCTCTGCTATTTTCCCAGCACTCCCTATTTAATTGTTTGACTGTTATTTTTGGAGGAGTTGGAAGATGAACCAATTTTTACTGTAAGATGCAGAGGTAAATAAGGAAAGAAAAAGCCCCAATATAAAGTAATGCTCCCCTCATGCCCTGTTTGTTCCACACATTTTGCCCCTTACATCTTTTTTTAATTGAAATGTCCCTTACACCTTAATGTCAAAAATGCTGTTTCTCCTTTTTTCCCCCTTGTGAAAGGCTTCCTAGCATTGAGGAAAGGGAATGAACTTGGTTGTCAAGGAGACCTGGGTTCTTTCTCAGCTCTGCTATTTATTGGCATCTTAACATTTCATCCATAAAATGGGGACTAATAATACCTTCCTTGCTTTCTTCCTTGTGATGATTAAAGATGATACAAGTTAAGCCCTTAAAAAGTTAGTGGCACAGTGAATAATAACTACCATTGTCATTTTGTGACTTGAGAGTTGGTTGGAAAAGTGAAAGGCATAACCATAAACTATAGCAGGCTATACATGTGTGCTCCCCATTTGAGATGTTACCAAGATGATGCTGACAAAGGATATTGTGAATTTAAAAGTTAGGAATTTAACAGAAGTTAACTTTGTTTATTGGTTTTTAAGAGTTTCATTTAAAATAATTCTTAATCACTAAAAATTTTTAGACTAGAGAAAGAACACTACCTACCCAGAATGCCACTACTCTAATAATCAGTGTTAAGATTTTTGAGTCATGGTTTGGAAAAATACCAGGAGAATCTCACAGTGTAAGTGGTGGCTAGAGAAACCAAATATTTTAAGAAGCATACATATAATAATGGAAAAAGTGTTATACCAAGAGGAGACAGTACAGGAATAGGGGAATTAATCATGAAAGGCTTCCCAAGGGAATTTTTTTAGCTGAATTTTAAAATAGTTTATTGTAGAAGGAAGAAGCAAGATATTTCAGATTCAAAGATGGAATAAATACAGATGATTTTAAAATCAAGTTAAAACTGTATTAAAGAACTCTAAAATTGTAAATGATTTGCTTCAATATCCATTCACCACCTTAAAACTAGTGAAATACAGTGGTTAAATGTGTCAGCAAACTAACTTTAGGATTGTGCCTAGGGATATTTAAAGTACTGTAACAAAAATACCTCATTTTCTCTACTAGAGACAGCCCTCCTTAGGTAACATCTTAAATATGACCTAATGCTCTGTGTAACTTGTGAGTTCCTATTTTGTAATTTATAATCTTGCAATGCCTGAATCACATAGGTCAAAGAGAATCTTAGGTCAGGATAAAAGGATCCAGCTTCTTTCCAGATTGAAGGTAATTACTATTTTTTTTTTTTTTAAGGTTTGGATTTTAAGATTTATGTATGTTTCCTGAAGTGTTGGGAGATTCTTGAGAGGTGGTTGGGGTGGGGGGCGGGGTTCTGGTTGATTTTATGCTTTTTAAACAAAACAAGAGACTAAAGACTAGAGACTGAGTTGAAGCTGTTGTGATATCTTTTATAGAAATGTTAGAACCAAAGAAAAGTAATTGAAATTGAAGTATGAGACATATTACAAATCCTTAGGTACTTGATACATTTTAGAATTAGTTCCATTTACTGCTTATTGGCTCATTTATTTTGTAAATTGGTCTTTTGTACTCTAGAAAGAAAAACTAACAAACCAACAGTGGTCAATAAATATTAGCTTCTGACAAAAATAACAGCTGGCATTACAGTGGGAGCAGCAGTTTTATGAAATCTTTTTTTCAAGTAGCATAACTATACTTTGAAAAATATATTGCTATATATGTTTACTTTGAGTAAACTGATCACTTTGTCATCTCAACAAACAAAAATGGAAAATAAGAAAAATTAGAAAAATAAGCTTGCTCCAGGTATATATAGACATAGGTTGTGGTTGTATTAAAATGTACAGTAGATTGACTG